CGCAACTTAAATTACTACATAGAGCTCACCTGACCCCAAATCAGGTGTCTAAGTTTAAACCAGGGTCCTCCTCCCTGTGCCCTAAATGCAAAATACATGAAGGCAGCTTCACACATTGTCTTTGGTCATGCCCTAAAATCCAGTTCTACTGGGAATCAATTCTGGCTGAGACTAGAAAAATTATCAAAACTAAAATCGATCTTGATCCGTTGTCTCTTCTCCTTGGTCTACCAAATAAACATATTAAAAATCAAAAGAAGAGTAAGTTGTATAATGTCCTAATTTTCTGTGCTCAAAACAATATTTTGTTTCATTAGATTTCTTATAAATTTCCTGGTATTTTTGGGTGGAAAAAGCTTGTTTTGGAGTATATCCCTCTCGACTTTCAAACATGCCTCGTCCACTCTGTAGACTGAGACTTTTGGACGCAGATGGAAGCCCTTCTTGGACTATGCTGAAGGACACTTGTCTACCATTCTGTCTCGAGCATTTATAAATCCTTAGATGTGAACTATATGATGATGGAAAAATGTATGCCCCCTATCTTTTCTTTTTGTCTCCTGTGGATTGCACTGCTAAGCTTTTGTTCTGTCTTATGTTGTTATTAAACAAAAATTAATAAACATATCTACAGGAAAAAAAAATGGTTAAATTAATTTTACAGCACATCCACACACAGAGGAGGACATTTCTTCTGTCCTACTTGCTGGATTCAGGAAGCCATTTGCTCACAGTCCTGAACCCGTAGATCCGAACTTGTGTTTACTGGCATTACAAGCTTGCAACTACAGGTTCCTGTCTGTGCAGCTTCAACATCTCGGAGCAACATCAGCTGAACACAGCAGGGACCGATAACAAACTCCTACTAACTTCAACTGTTTCTTCCCAGATCCCCTCAAAGAAGCTTCCCCTGCTGCCAACAGTGACTGCTGGTTCACAACTACAACCCTCAGTTCCTTCCAACATAACCTATGCCAGCTTTCATTGTCTTCCTGAGGTGCTTAGCATTGTCCACATTTTCTCTTTATGAACATTATGGTTTTAAACAGTTAAAAGAAATGGTGCAGAGGAGTGGACTAATCCATAAAACGTTCCCTCTGTGTTGTCCTTTGTGTTCCACATGTCAGTTGGAGACCTTCCCATAAATTTTTTCAGACAGTAGTAAACTAGCTGCAGCAAGACTATTAGTACTGGTGAAGAAGACATCAATATAGTGCATCTTGTTAAATGACAGTTGGAGGAGATATAAAAGAGTTTGATCTCCCATTGCAAAAACAAGCAACCATTTGGATTATTAGTGATTTAGAAAACATTAATGGAATCATTGTCTGGCAAAGAAATTTATCTAAAAAAATGCAATCTCTCTAAATGTCTGTTTTTGAAATATTTTCAGTAAAAACACAAATACTTGAACAGAGTCTAAACATGGTTATTACCATGCCATTACTCTGGTGTATTACATGTGTCTAAATGTCCAGTACATGTGTCACTTTTAATACTCTTTCTTACCCTTACCCTTGTATGGCTTGCCATCACACACCCCCTCTCTTCAGGACTCTCCCTGATGGAGCGAGAGACACAGTCAACAGTGAGGTTCTCTGTTGGAGAAATTGTGATATTATTAATCAAATATTTGTTATTCTCATGTAATCTTATAATATTATCTTTCTTTTATGCGTTTATTGTTTAATCTCATTATAGAATTAAGAATATTTCTGTATTGTTGGTTTACTCTGATTCCTTTCTCAGAAAGCCTCACTGACAGAAAGCAGAGACAACAGTCTTCCTGCAGGGTTATCTCTTGGTGAAGAGCTCTGTTTCGTTTAGTTGCTGAATTGCTATAAAACTGTCACTGTGAAGGTTTACTACATATTCTGTTAGACTTTGTGTCTGGAATGAGATTATGTAGTGCAGGATAATTTGTGTCTTAGTTAGTAAATGACAACTGGTGATGTAGCTATGTGATGAATTTAGAGTTACAGTGTCCTTGTGATTAGGGATCCTGAAAACAATAAAAAGAGAGGAGCAGGCAAATGTGTTGGTATATCTAAAAAGAGATTGTAACTGAAAGCACATCTCTGTCTGTTCTCCTCGCGAGTAAGAAAGAATCTAACTCTTTTGTCTTTCCTGTCTTTGTTAATATGTGTTTAACCCTAATATTCTCCTTTCCTGGTATGTGGTGCACTGTGAACTGAAATGATTGGAGAGCCAAGTACCAACAGGTAATTCACCCATTTTTGTCCTTCATCTTTGTAAGCCCTTGTAGTGGTTCATGATCTGTCTCCAATGTGAAATGTCTTCCCAGCAAGTTCACTGTGGAATGGCAAACCTCCAGTGGAAACTGCTTCCGGCTGATGTATGCCATTGGTTGACTGCCTCCTGTTTCCTGAAGGAGAACAGCTCCCAGACCTCGATCTGAAGCAACAGTCTGTAATATGAACTCTTAATTAAGGTTAGGATTTTACAATAAAGATTGCTTAATTAGTGACTGCTGGATGTTATAAATGCAGCCACTGACTTCTTGGTCCATTGTATGTGATTAGGAGAGTGGGATCCCGTCAGATCTGTGAGCAGAGCTGCCCTAACTCAAACCCAGTTTTCTAGTACTGGTTTTATCCCCCAGTACTGGAAAACTTGGGGATAAACGAAGGTAGAACCCACTTATGCCCACAAATAGCATAGGAACAAGTTGGTTCCTTGTTTGGGGCTGAGGAAATTATTCCATCGCCTTCACTTTATTAATTTGTGGCCTGATAACCCCCTTGCAGATGACATGCCCTAGGTATTCTCTCAGTAGCAGCAAAGACGCACTTTCATGAGTTCACAGTCAGCCCAGCTGATTGAAGGCAATCCAGGACAATCCAGATGTTCCATGTGCTCCTCCAATGTGATACTGTGAATGTCAGTACCATCCAAGTAAGCAGCAGAAAAGTCAGAGCAGTTGTGCTATACCTGATCCAGCTGTTGGAAAGTGGCTGGATCCCAATGCAACCCAAATGGTAAGACTGTAAAGTGAAACAGCCCTCATGGTGTCCTGAAGGCAGGGAACTTTGGATCGTTCAGTGAGGATGACCTTCCAGTAGCCCTGACACAAATCCACTCAAATATGTTGCTTTTCCCAGACGTTCGAGGAGGTCATCAATTCTGGGTGTTGGATAGGAGTTAAACAAGGATATAAGATTTAGGTATCTGAAATCAATGCAAAACCTAATGCTTCCATTCTTCTGAGGTACCAACACCACTGTGTTATACCATTCACTTTTAGAGTTCTCAATAATCTTTAAGCAAAATATCATGTCAACTTCAGTCTTTAATGAAGACAGCATAGTCTATAGAGTAATTGTAACCCAAAAGTTACTTTAAATACACCTAATAATAGCAAAAGGCAGGTAATTTAATTTACTTCTCTGACCAGCACCAATGCTATAAAAGTATATCTAAAAAGAAGTTAGGCTGGATCAAAAGACTGTGAATTCTCGGGAGCCGAGGTGTGAATGACAACAAGGGAGTGCACAAAGTGTCAACAAGAAAGTAAAATTTAATAATAAAAACAATTGTGGATCCACATGTACAATTGCAACAAAATAGCGCGCGTTTTTTTTTCTAAACAGAAAATCTCTCCAGTCTCTTCCAATGTGTCGGTCGACTCTCTCAGTATTTCAAGGATAGTGACCAGTGGGGTCACTATCTACCATCTCACTGGGTTCTCTGGGCTGGGGCTCGCCATCCAAATTCAGAAGTGGGTCTTGAAGTCTCTGGGCACTCCAGGCCAAAAATGCACCGTAAAAAAAAAAAAAACCTGACCTGGAACAAGGCCCAAACAAAACATCTCAGAATACAAGATGCCAATATCAATCAAACCTATGTATCAATAAATTGTTATAATTAAGAGATCTTCCATCATTGCTCAATTTTTTCTTTTCAAGTTGTACAAAAGTCAGCAGTTTATCAGAATACAATATTACTTACACATCAGTAAAACTAAAGAAATTAGCTTAATATGTGGTAAAGATATTGTAATAATATAAATAATATAATAAAATAATAATAATAATAATATATATTTCAGTCAGAAAGTACCGGTACATCTTCAACACTATAAATGTCTTGTAATACCAACGGAAAAAAAGCACATAACTGATATAGAACCGTTGAACTATTACGACATGTACTCAAAGAAAAATAAATACAACAATATACACAACAATAATAATAAAGATCTTACTGTGCTACTTTATTTTTATTAAATTTGGTCAGATATTACGTGTTTTTGCCAATTTTTAACCAATTTACTGAGCCAACTGCCGAGCATGTGCGATCACTCACCAACGCTCTGTCGTGTCTGACGCTAATGGGGATTTTCTCCCCAGTCTCAGCTGCTCTCAAAGAAACTTTGAGATAAAAAACCCCCCAAATTTACTATTTTCAATTATATATTTTGAGAAACTATACCAATATTTTTTTTCTTACTGTTTGTCCAGATTTTATATGTGTAACGGGTAATAGATACAGATGAAATTCTTGCTGAAATATGTTTTGTAATTACCATGTAATGAGTGGTTTTTTGCGCCCCCTACTGGTTCACCATAAATAGGAAGATAAACTGTAAGTTCCACACAGTCTGTTCAGCATTCTACTGTGGTAAGTCACCAAATCCAGTTCTTTTCTGAACAGTCATAGTGGGTGTGATCAAAGACTGATGTGTTCAAACTGCATGGAGTTTTATTACAATAAGCAGAGAACTAGTGGACCAGAAGGGAAAACTCACTGTGCTAATTTGTGTTGACCATTCATTACAGGTAATTATGTTACATTATTTATCAGTAATTCATGTTGTCAGTTATGTTTGTCAGTTTTTCTTCAGTTGAGTTTGTCGGTTTGTCTATTATGTTGTCAGTTTGCTGTATTTGTTCGCCTGTCAGTTTGTTTGTTCCCTGTTTCAGTTAGAAGTTACTGTTAAATAGTTTATTAGTTAAATTTGACTGCTGTCTATGTCTATTTTTTTTTTTTTTTGGTTTTTCTTCATTTATAAGAGAAAGACCAGATTGTATTAAATTAATTTTAAAGAAGTATTAGTACTCAAATATCACTATACGATCATCTGTTAGAAAAATATGTTGTTAAGCCTGATTGTAATAACTGTTTGTGACACAGTCTGTTCAGCGCTCTACTGTATACGCGGAGAACTGGTGGACCAGTAGGGGAGCTCACTGTGCTAATTTGTGTTGACCATTCATTACAGAAAATTTAACCAACTGGCCTCCATTGTGTGTATGACGGGACGGGCATAAAGGGAAGCTGTCACATAAGCTCTTTCAGGCTCTAACAGAAACAATGGTTAGCTGTGAGTTCTCAACCTTGTCTGACGCGTTCTGAGCAGAATCACAGCGCAGTAGTGATAGGGGCGGAACAATCAACCTCATTGGCTGACCCAATATCAGACCATGCCAGCCATTGGTTGCCCAATCCATCAGCAAAACAATCACGAAAGGCCTACTTCAGAGCTTTTTAAAGATTTTTAGAAGTTTTTGATATATTTTTCTAAGTAAAATAAAACACAAAATCTGTTTATACTTTCCAATCCTGTGAAACAAAAAAATTAACATCAAACTACATAATAAACTTTCACTTGTGTTTTTAACACTGGGTTACATAATCTTTCTGGGTTACTGGGTTACATTGTAGTACCTTCTTGTACTACAGAGTCATGTTCCTTGTTCTTCCTGGTTTCTGTTGAAACACTGCAGATTGACATAGTTCTCTCACCTGTTGCTGCTTGTCCTTGAGAAGATGGTCATGATCCAAATCTAGAGAGGCAGAAGATGATAAATATTGCTCATCAACTTCAGCCACCCTCTGAATGAGCAGTGCATCTGCCTTGTGTTCTGCACACTGAACCCACTCACTCTTATGTGCAAAACCTTGGTGGGCTGCAACTGTCCTGTGGTCGATACTTCATTATGTGATTAGTCTGAGCTTCCTCATAACTTAATATGGCTCCTGCCACTTGGCCAACATTTTGCTGTTATTGCTGGGGAGGAGCACAAGTACCTTTTGTCCTGGATCAAATGAGCGCTGCCAAGTAGTTTTATCATATCATATATTCTTTTGCTGCTGGTCTTTTGACATGTGCAATTGGGCCAGCTCGCTCATTTTCTCCAAACGCTCTCTCATCTGAATAAGATAAAATGTTATTAAGTACCTCTCCCAATAACAGAGATAGAAGACCACGAACTTCATACCCATACAACAGCTCAAAGGGAGAGAAACCAGAGAGTTGGAGCACTTCCCTAAAGGCGAAAAGAAGATAGGCCAGCCACTGAACCCAATCTCTACCACAGTCATTGACAAATTTTGCAGGCATTTGCTTGAGGGTCTGGTTAAAGCATTCTGTTAGCCCATCAGTATGATGGGCTAACATATGGGAAGTCCTCAGGCTATGGATGCCCAACTGATATACTTGTTTCTATACAGAAGACAGTTTTTTCCTTGATCAGTTAAAATCTCTCAAGGAAATCCAATCCTTGCAAATAACTTCACCAGGCAAGATGCAATGCGTCTGGTCTTTATAGATTTTAAAGGGGATAGCTCAGGGTATTCTGTTGCATAATCTGTTACAACAAGCATGTAGCGATTGTCTGCTTTACTCCTCTCTACAGATCCTGCAATGTCCATTGCAAGATGCTCAAAAGGGACGCCAATGGCCGGGAGGTTGTTAGAGTGGAGCTCTGCGGGAAATTTTAGACAACTTTTGCAAAACTGAGCTACATTTTTGCTCAGACCAGGCCAGTAAAATTGGTGTTTAATGCAAGCTGTGGTTTTGTGCTTACCCATGTGTTCAGCCCAGGGAATTGCATGCCCCAAAGTAATAATGGCATTTCTCACCTGTTGGGCAACTACTAGCTGCAACACATATCTCTGCTGATGATATAGAGAATGTCATTTTGCAAGATGTACTCCTCACCCTTAAGGTCCTGTTCCACTCCAGGTTCCTTTAACTTTTCCTTCTGTAAAAGAGATGTTAAAGACTGATCAGCTTTGTGGAGTTCAGAAATATCATTTGAAATATCAAACCCAAATAGTGGCAATGTGGTCTATTGGTGCTTCCACATGTGAAAATTGAGATTTATCCCATCTCGTTTATCCGCGGGTCTTCCGTGGCTTCACAGAAGTAGTTTCCAGCTCCTCGTTGAAAAAGGGCAGAGCGCCCTGCAGGTCAGAGTGGCTGTTGATTCGCTTAGCCTGGCCACTGGTAACAACTATGGGGAGTCTCTTGAATCTGATCAGACTCCATCAAATCAAAAAGCACAGGAAGGTCACACCGAAGCACAACAGAATAAGGCAGACTACTAACCACACCCACATTCAGAAGATACATCTGGTCCTTAACCTTAATATGAATATCAGCTGTTGGATAGATTTTCTCATCTTCATGGACACAGGAGATTGAAATGGTGTCATTTGTGCAAACACTATTAGGTGTTTGCACGCTTGCAAGCTTGCAAGCTCAAGGTCAGTACTATCTTTAGCCCGAAGGCCAAAACACATTTGGATCATTTTAGCAGAATTCCTGGATGCAGGAGAATATGATTGTGATGATAGTTGTATCTCTGACTGCAGAAGTTTAAACTGATGTTGAAGGGCTTTAAATTGTTGTTCTTGTTGTGAATTTAACTCATCCTGTTTTCCATCTTGGGTGTCCTATTGCCCCATGTGAGCATGTAGCATAGCCACCAGATCAGATAGAGTAAGCTCCTTCTCCTCTCCCATTCTTCTTCAGAATGCAGAACAACAGAATTAAACAACAGATGTTGTTGGGGGCAGTGGCGCAGTTGGTAGCACTGTTGCTTTGCACCAAGAAGGTCTTTCTGCACGGAGTTTGCATGTTCTCCCTGTGCGTGCGAGGGTTCTTACCGGGTTTTCCGGCTTCCTCCCACAGTCCAAAAACATGACTCTCTAATTGGTCTCTCTAAATTCTCCCTAGGTGTGAGTGTGTGTGTGCATGGTTGTTTGTCCTGTTTGTCTCTATGTTGCCCTGTAACAGACTGGTGACCTGTCCAGAGTGTATCCCGCCTCTCGCCTGGAACGCAGCTGGAGATAGACACCAGCAACTCCCGACCCCGTTAGGGAGAAGGGTGACCGGAAAATGGATGGATGTTGTTGGGAGAGTTTTTATTTACCCTAAAGTATGAGCAATGATTAAGATAAGTATTAGGCAAGCAGGCAAATAAAAGAGGTAAACGCAAAATACCAAACTCAAAGACATAACTGATCTAACCTGAAATGACACCATAAGGCTTAGTTAAACCCTGTTGACACAATAGGAAAAACAAAATAGTTACCACATGACAACTAACCCAAACCGATTAAATAAATCCCAAAACCCCCAGCATGAAGCATGTGGTTCAATTTAATGAGGCCATCCATCAGCAGTCCTTCAGGAAACTCAGCCCTTTTCCATGCCTTTTTCCCACCACGGAGAGGCAATCAAGCACCAACCCCCCAGGAAACGCAAACAAAGAAAATAGTGTAACATAACTGAATTTCGATGTTGAAGTGTTATATGTGTGCATACAGCTGGCCCAAGGCATAAGAAAACTAAGTGGTTGCTTAGTGCCCCAGGACTGCTAGGGTGGGCCCTAAGTGGAACTGATTTTTTTTAGTAATGATTTCTATGTGATTATATTAACAAAAGCGCATAAATTCATTATTTTATGTAAAATAAAAGTTGTGATTTTAAAAAAAATTTTTTAACAATAATATATATTTGGCAATGTACGCAGAAATCTTTCTTATATGGGCAAAAAAGAAAAATAAATACAGTGAAACTTCACTAAAATAAATACAGTGAAACCTCACAGTTTACCTTTCACGGTCTCGCTGCTTCACTGACTTTCATCTGCATTCTGATTGGCTAGCTTCTCTACTTGTGTGCCAATAACGTAGCGGTTTAATATGTATACGTAAAACAGCTTGCCAAATTTAAGTTTGCAAAGAAAAAAGAGCAACAACAACTACCTATAACCATGTTCTTCTCTTGAAAAAACACACCTGCACTTCAGAAGAACAAACCGCTACAGAGCGGAGTCAGGATGCAGCGGCTCAGTCAGAAGAGCAGTAAATACACGTGTCACTATTTGTACTTTGTAGTTTTTTTCATAATAATTTTTCATTTTCTCCCGTTCTAATCCAGTGACTCAGGTCGCGGTGAGGCGGTGCTGATCTCCGCAATTTGAAGCCTTCAGTTTGTATTGATGATTAAAATGATTATTTTACAATACGTTTTTACAGCACTTTTATTTGTTAAACAAATGCTTGGGTCTGTAAAAACGTTTTGTTCATTGGTTTCAATGTATTATGGAGTATTTCATTGTATAATAATTGTAAAAAATAAAGGTTACTACTTCATGGATTCCGCCTATCACTGGTTCTTTTTGGAACTTAACCCCCACGAAAACGAGGATTCACTGTAAATAAATTGCTCTTAGGGGCCCTCTGCGGTATGTACCACACTGAACAGTAATATGAGCTGCTGTGCAAAGCGCATCCAAACCTCCAAAGGATTGTAAAAGATGTCATTAGAACAATGTCACAAAAAATTATTCATCCTTCAAAGAGAGAGAAAAGAAAGAGAAAGAGTAGAGAAAAAGTCAAGATAAAAGTATTTTTTATTGGTAATGTTTATCAGAAAGATTTGAGGAGCTGCTAATTGAAAATTAGCTTAATAGTGACCTTGAACGGTCCAGTTCAACAGCCATTTATGCAAGAATGTCTTTATTTGTGTGAAGCTCAGTTTTAACTTTAAATGAGTGGATTCTCATGGTTGGTTCTGTATATTTCTGAGTTGTTTTGCCTTCAAAACTTGTAAACAATGTAAATCAATGAGCTACTCTAAGCAGTAGTTGGTGTTATGTTGTTTGCTGTGTTGCACCAAGTGCAGTCTCTTCTGGCCATTCATCGATTACTGATCTTTAAAAAGCCTGACCTGCTGATTTTGGCCAATTCCAATTTTTTTGTCTGAAATGTTGCTAAATGTAGCAAGAAAGTCATTGAGACTTTTAACTGTAGAGCAGAAGAGGACAGAGGCTGATTTTTAAACCTTTGCTGATGCAGATAAGATCAGTGGATAAGATTGGCTTCATGTAAGTATCGGCCAATCACTGTTCCTGAAATTGGTGCACTGCAGGGACAGATTAGATTTAGATTAGAAGGATATCATGAGGAAAGACTTTCACTTTTTGCGTGAAAAATGCCGTCAGACTCTGAGTGGCTTATGTGGCTCATGAACCAAGGAGCCCTGCATGGCGTCCAGGTCTGCTTGCTCCCAGGTTGAGGTAGTAGGTTGTATAGTTTAGAATTACATCCTGGGAGATAACTGTACAACCTCCTCGTTTTCCCTGAGGTATGCATGGCACTGTTATTTGTTAGCTGCCTGCCACAGCCAAATCATGGCCCCTCACCAGGTCCAATAAGAGTCCAGGCTGCTTTTCTGATGGAGAAGCACTTTCTGCTGCTGTGGGTTGGCCTGCACTGTTCCTGAGCTTTGATGCATATTGAGTTTGGCAGCTTTTGCAGTTGCAGATTTATTCTGGATATCACAGCCATCATATTTTTAATATATGTGCTTAAATTTATTTCCCCACATAAAATGAAAGCTATACGGCAACCTTCCAACCACAATGAAATGTCAGCACACCGTTTTATTTACTAGTTGATAACGTCATTAAAACTGTTGAGTGTGTGGAAGAAGACAGGCCACCTCTGTGATTTAGCTCATATGCTGACAGATCAGTAAGAGATATCAAGGGGAGAGAAGAGCAAAAGATGGAGACGGCAGCGGCAGCGCCTCCATCCTTTAAGCAGTTGTCACTCAGAACAATTATTGTCACAATATTTCCAATTGCCAAGACGCAGTGTGTGTGGAAAGTGCCACTATCATAATATCCTGACATCCGAAATATTGTGACTGTAAGGGAGGAAGTGAAAATGGAAGGATAATTCCTGCCATTGCACTAGCAGACAGAATTCTATTTCTGGACTTTCTTCTGCTCCATCAGAGGGTTTTCTTTTATGCCTAAGATTGAAATCAGAAAAGTGTCTATGAGCTGAAATCCTTCTGAAACCAAACACACCAACATCTGTCTGGTCAGTGTTGCCAGCATGCTTCTCATTTTCCACTTTCTTCCTCCAGCGGGGTGGATGTCATTCCCACCCTCTAACCCTCTCCATGCAGCAGTGGGCATGATAGAACCTTGAAGTCCTACAGTTCTGGAATGGAGTTCTATTCCAGCAGCTAAGGCATTAAAAATATGGGCAAAAGACTGTCCCCTGTTGGTTTAATGTGTGAAATGACCTTCAGTGACAAGAACAGAAGATTTGACAAAGGGAAAATGAAATGTAGCATGTGTGAATGTGACTGGGAGTGTGTAAGTTGAAAATATTGAGGTTATGTTTGCTTTCTTTTGTGTATAGTCTGCACCATTCAAAATATGAGCCCTATTAAAGTGCATGTGAACATCAAGCTTTATACTTGGCATTTAAGCAGTCTATATGAGCATGAATGCAGGTTTTAGGTGTGCATGCAGCAGATAGGTGGTAAAACACTTTAGCAGTGGCTTAGCAGTAGTCATGATAAACAGAAAAGTTACAGTTTCTGCTTGTTTCAGCATAGAGTGACAAGAGATCTTTGATATCTAGACTCTACAACTAAACTCAGCTCGGATTCACTCTGCAAACCTGAGGACAGCAAGGTAGTTCCCTGGAACTACCTTGCTGTTGCTCCTGCCATAACTGAGTAATTTCTTTTACATCATTAACACCATCAATAGTAGTTGGTAGTGACGTTTTGTAGTTATTTATTTTAGAAATTTCTTTCCAAAAGTCCTCAACATTATTAATTCCTAACTTCCTTGCAAGACAGTCAGACCTCACAGTATTTTGATTTCTGTTTATAAATCTTAAAGCATATTTAAAATGAGCATTTTCCTGTTTTTATACTAAACAACAAGTCATGTCTCTGTTTACCTGAATCAAGCCATGCTTTAAGAGTCCTTCTGGGTCCTTCTGGCCTCTACATGAAGCTCTCTTACATATTCGTTCCAGCGTAGCTTACTACTGTGTGAGCTGGTTTTTTATACAGTGGTTTGCTTGAGCCAAACCACTGTTTGGCTCGAGAAGACTTTGAGAATACAGAATACGAGAATACTTTGTATTCTCATACAAAGTACATAACTTTGTATGACCCATGTTGTGGATCCTTACAGTTCATATCATGGGATGCGATTGCTCCCTTTGGTAAATATGTGTTGCTAAACATAATCTTCGTATGACCATAATAATCTGATAGAGCTTTTTTAGTCAAGTTATCCCATGCTATTTAACGTTGTTTTAACAACAAGAGTTGTCTAAACATTGTTTTTTTTAAGGTCATTAATATTGTATTGTGTGTTTTAACTTAATGTTGCAATTTAAACCAAATAATTATTACACAATATGCAAGAAAAAAAACTTCCCTCACCTAGTTAAAGAGTACAAATTGAAAAAAAAATTACTAAATAAAAAATAATGTAAAATAACTATTTCACTGTAGAATAATTAAAATTATTGTTTTAAATTGCATAAACTCAATTTTTGATCTGAAAATGTATTTTAAACATCACAATTAATTAGGCTCAGAAACATTTGGTGTTAACAGGGCGTTATACTCAAGCATTAAAATATACATTTCCCTTATTGATGCACAAGTCAGATTAATGTAACACACTTCCATCTCACTCACAGTGCAATACAGGATACAAAAACATGCCACTAAGCACACTGGAAAACAGTTCTCACTCCTGTCTTTTTCTTTTAGTTTTTTTTTTTTTTTTGGTGCTAGCCTAAAAAGTCAATACACAACTTGCTACCCCTTACTAACTTTATCTTTCACAAAGTCACACATTTAGGTTCAAACCCTAAAACTCACCAAATTTATTTGACTTAAAGAATAGAACACATTTAGCAGAAACAACTAAATGTGACTAAAGTATTTTACAGTGCATAACTATGCTGATGACCTGTATACAGATGTACATTGCAATGTCACCAGAACCTATCTGAGCACTGAACATATAAAAAAGCTGGATATGCCATAACTTTCTCCAGCTGAACAGAAACAAAAGTTATCTTTGGCCCTAAAGAGGAAGAATCTAGATTTAAGACACAGCTTCGGTTATTTCAACTGGAAATACAGATTAGACCCGGAACCTGGGAGTAGTAATGGACTCAAACCTGAACCTTCAGAGCCACTAGACAGTTACGAAGTCAGTCTTTTATCAACTGAAGATCATGTCTCAACAAGACCTAGAGAAACTCATCCATGTGTTGCATTACTATAACAATGTCTTCAGCTGCAGTTGATCCAGAACACTGCTGCTGGCTTTCTCACTAAAATCAGGCAGATAGAGCACATCACCCAGTTCTAAAGTCCTTCCTCTGACTCCTTGTAGCTCAGAGAATAGACTTTAAAATACTATTAGATTATAAATCATGGTTTAGCACCACAATACATTAAAGATCTGTATCAACAGATTTGTAACAATCTTCCAGACCTCATAGCCCTTCTGGTACTGTTCTGCATCCAGAACCAAACATGGAGAAGTAGCATTCAGTTCCTATGCTCCTCCTTGCAATCTGGAACAAACGTTTCGAAAACTACAAAACAGCCGAAACACTGAGTTCCTTTAAATCCTGACTTAAGACACACCTGGTTAGAGTTGTTTTGAAACATTATAAATGGAACATTGATAAATTCTCTGATGTATAACATTGCCACCAGACAAAATGTTATATTTCAATTGTTAACTGTGTGATCTATGGCTATTTTTGTGTTTTTATGATGTAAAGCACTTTGAACTGCCTTGTTGCTGAAATATGCAATACAATTAAACTTGATGGATTGGTTGATTGATGTCGGACCCCCCGCAAACTTGGGAAAGAAGGCGCTATGGCAGATCAACACAAAAAGCTGGCCTACATGCAAAATGCATTTTCCAACAGAACAACCATCCTAACAGTACAGCGAGTAGGGGACAACAAACCACTTATTAGAACAGTCCGGAGTTAAGTGAAATTTAGAACTTTCTAAGACTTGAAGATTAATGTTCACATTTTTCCAATCTGAGGGTGCATTCACACCAGCCTTGTTTGGTTCCATTTAAATCCATATCCAATGTGTTGGCCGAGTAAGTCCCTTTCATTTGGGGGAGGTATGAATGCATAAAGCAAACTCTAGTCCACCTATAAACCTCGGTCTGTGATCAGTTGAAGTGAACTCTGGTGCAGATTGAATGCAAGTGAATGTCAAGCGATCAGAAGACCACTCAAAAAATCAGGAACCAGACTTCAGAGCATGACATTCTGGGTAAATTTAACCAAAACAAAAACTCTTCCTTTGGGGAAATGGTTTGTGGTCTTTTACCAAACACAAACGAGAAATCCTTCAACAACTAAAACCTGGCACTACTCAATATTTGTTTACATTCCGTGAAGAAAGAAGTTGCGGCCAGTGTCTTATTCTGTGTCTTTATCAGGTTTTTGTTGCAGCACCAACACAGGTGAAGAGGTAAGCAGACATTTCAAAAGGTTTGGTTTGTTTGATACAGTATGGTGTGAAAGAGAACCGCAACAGCTGAAATTGGAACAAATGCTGAAATTTTGGTTCCAGTCAAACAAAATGTGACTGCTCCATTTTTGTTCACATTTTGTGAAGAAGGAAGTTGTGGTCACCAGCACAACTTCTTCGGACGTTTTGTGTAGATTTCCTTCGTAGTTCTAGGTGCACCAACTACCTCAGGTGACACAGAAAACCAATTTTCCAGTTAGTTTGCATCTTTTGACACAGTGCAGGGTGGAAGAGAACCTGAGCAGCTTAAACTGGAAGAAAGGTTGCCATTTCTTTCCCCTATCAAACTCGGTCTAACAGAGGTGAATTCACTCTGAAATATCTACCAGTCCATCTTTAAAAAAGAAGAAGCTCAAACTAACTCAGTTTCTGAGATGCTCAAAGCTCAAGAGCAACTGCTGTAAAATGTGGTTCACAATGTCTTTACTCAGAAGAGCCAAATGCAAATGCAAATCACACCATTTCAATCTTTTTCTGTATAAATGCTTTTCAGTTAATGTCACAATTCTGCACAACATTGTGCGGGTCTGTCACATGAACCAAGAGAACCGAGATAAAACACACTAGTGTTTTGTGGTTCTTACCTGATAAAATGTGAAATCTTTTTCTTTAGAAAAGCACCAGATAGGTCTCACTGTGAGTCATTAGTCTGAAGAGCAGACTGTATTAGGTGTAGTACCCAATGGCCTTTGTCTTGCACATTTGTACTTTCAGTTTTGCACACCTGCATCTCAGCCCACTGTTAAGCCTCCATCTATCACCTCCTGTTGTCTTCCTCTGTCCTCCATGTGACAATCGGACATGACAGCTGTCATTCAATCTCTGCAACCACAACTTGTCTCCAGAGTGTGTGTTCTGCCTCCTCACTAAACAAGCAGAAAATGAGAAATAGTACCAGAGTTGCATGTTTCTGTTGCTGTGCCGCAGCCATGTGCAATGATTTCCTGAGGATGTGTAGGCCACGGCATGACAGATCTGGGTCTCTTGATGTGCCGGTTGGCTGGTTGGCTGCTGCTTCCTCCTGTCCATATCCAGCAGATTACAAAGAGAGAGCAAATTGGGACTGGTAATTAACGACCCACTTTGCTCTCGCTTACCTAGAAATATTGTTATGAACTACACAGATGAAATCAGTTTTACGACCTCTAAAGGAAAATGAATCCAAATATTTGCATAAATCATGAAAGCCCTACTCCTTTCTCTTTCTCTCATTCTGCATGGTGCTATGTGTAACAAACACATAGCACCATGTAAGCCTTTGTCTTTCACCCTCAAAGCAGGCTAATATTAGCCCCATGCTGAGAGGTGACTCTTTCTGGACACAAACAGTGATAAATGGGCCTGGATACATTGAGTGTGCATGCATGCACGTACAGGGGTATTTTAAAATGAATGCTGTCATCGTGTTTCAGAGAGGTGTCTGTGAAGAAATGCAGGGTGTTGTAGATCCAGATGTGCAGTGTTCTACAGCTGTGCAAAAACAAAATAGAAAAAAAGCCATAATGCAATGCCTGGCAGACAGCAGTCAAAGAGGATTGGGGATTAGCCGGGTGCAGACTCAGTTGGTCGATCAGTTCATAAGAGAGAGAGAGAGAGAAAGAAGGAAAGCAGAGGGCAGTGTGGTCCTGGGGATTTTTCTATTTTTTTCCCTCCTCATCCAGTCTTTCAGGACCCGTCGCTTATTTGAGCTCCCGGCCGGCTGCACGTCGTCACTCTCCTTTGCTTCCCTCCATCTGTCCCTCCCCCATCATCTCTTCTCTTTTTCACCCTCCTCCCACTCTCTCCCTCGTCCTCCCTTTCTCTTTCTCTCCATACCAAAGCCGGGGGGAGCTGGTGGAGATTAAATGTAGACTTTATAAGCCAAAGCACATCACGTAGCAATGTTCCTGTGGCCCCGTCCCTCTGCTGCTCCTCGGCGGACAGGGGGAATGATAAGAGGACGTGGAAAAAGATCAGGCCGCAAATGTGGAATTTTGAAAAGTCCACTTTGTTTTCTTTTTTGCACGCAAGCAGAAGGATAGAGATAAATGGTTTCCTTGGAGGCACATGGACAGCAGAAAGGTGAACTATTCTTCCTGTCAAGCTCACCTTCCTCTCCCTCGATGTCTCCCTTTCTCCCCGTTCTTGCCTGATGCAGAGGAAAAGAGGGCCTCAGGCTGTAAGTGATCACAGCTGTGAGGCAAATTAAATGATGATCTTTCACTCTCCTCTTTCTCTGCTTTTCAAATGCCTTCCTCCACCGTTCACCTCCACCCCATCCTGTCACCCTCGGGAAGGCGTGGAGGAAGAAATAGAGGGGGGTGAGAAAGGTGAAAGTGGAAAGCTTGAGAGAGAAAGGTAGAATGTGAGTGAGGCAGGGGGAGGAGATGAAGAGGGTGGAGAGACTGTTTTTTTTCCTCCAGTCTTCCCTCCTTCCTCCTCTGCATGTGACTGAGAAAGAAAACAATGTGAGGGAAAAGGGTGAGGAGGAGAGAAAGCAGAGCAAGACAAGAGATCAGTAGGCACAGTGTTTTTTTTTTTTTTTCCTTTAACTTGGAGCTGTGGGTGTGTGCGTTCGTCTTTGAATGTGTGTGTCCATACATGGGTTTTTGTTGTCCTCTCTCTTGCCCACCTGCCTTGGACCTGCAGGTCTGGATGAAAAGTGAGTGGATGATCTGCTGCAAGGAATAGCAAATGAGTAAAAGGCTGTCTTATGTTTGCTGTGTATTCATGTGTGTGTGTGTGTGTGCATGCCCACCTGAGCACTCTTTTCACCTTCTCCTCCCCCCTCCTTTCTCATGTCGGTGAGGTAGTTTACTGGTATGCTCCACTGGCACTGTTGCGCCAGCTGAAAGTATGGACTCCATCTCTGACCTCTCTTTTCTTTCACCTTTCATTCATCCATCTTCTCACGCAGTTCTCGATCCCATCCACTTCTCTTTATCCTCTGGAATACTTGCTCTTTCTGAACTGTAATCTTTACTCGCCTTCAATTTTTTGTTTTCTGCTAAGTTCCAGCAAATTTGTTGTCTCCTCGGACAGCTTGCTTTCGCCCTAATTGTGTGCGGATGCGTTGTGTGCGTGTGTGTGAAAAATAGAGGGAGGGAAAAAAGAAAGAGAGAAAGATAGGGTGCACATGGTTCGTTCCAGCTCAGTCCTGCCACCCATCCTCATCCTTCTTGGCTCAGCCTGTCGCTCTCGCTCTGTTTGTTTTGCCTGATTTGGAGCGGCTCGCCCAGGAGGAATAGTCTCCTTTGTATTGAATCCACTTTTTGCAACAAAATAACATTTAGAAATGCTCTTCTTTTTTTTCTCAGTGTCAGAGGAATCGTGCTGGCATGCTGTAAGCTTTCTCTTTCTATGTGTGTGCTTTTTTTAATCTTTCAATTCCCAAGCAGGCAGTGAGCAAAAGGAACACTGGGCGGTTAGGGCATCCTGGACCCAAAGGGGAGGGTGAGTCGACACCGACAAACGCTCTTCCTCTTTCTGCTTCCCTCTCAGCTCCCCCTATTTGCTTCCTAAGCATTCAGACCACTGTGGCAGCTTGGAGGAACCTTAGAGCTTCCTTACCTTTTTTTTCCTCTGCAAAGCCTCACTAGGATTCAGAACTTCACGCTGATCAGGGACTTGCTCTTGCAACCTTTGAGCGTGCAACCGAGAGGTTTCACCGCATGGTGGAAGATGCGTCTATCAGACAAGCATGAGAGTCATGTTGTCAGATGAATTGTGTGACACTGGGCAGTTCTGGCTTTGGATTTTGATGCAATAATTGATTTGTCCACGCTTGGCTTTTGTCTTGTGCACTGTAAATAATTAGCCGATTGAGACTTTCCCACACACCCCAGGAGGTCTTTAGGCATACTGTACAGCAGCAGGCTCTTTACCTAATAGGAGGCATTTTTCAGATGTTGTATTGTTCTCTTTAGCTGAGGAATACAGTGAGGAGGCTTCAGTGGGGGGTCGGGGAGGAGTTGGGATGAAGTGTGGGGCTTGGGAGGACAGAGGATGACAGCAGTTGGAGACTTTCAGAAAAGGTTGGTCAGCCTTGTGTCTGGAGGTCATTTGCACTTGTAAGATTCTAGTCATGCAGTGGTATTTTAATAAGTGCAGACTGTTTTGGAGTGTTTTTACTGTGTGGGATGCAGGATTAAGATCACATGTCCAGAGCTGACTTCAAAGATGGAAGACCAGAAACCCACTGGACTTCTGAGGAGTCAACATCCCATCAGCTGCTGGTGGTGTAGAGCTGTCTGTTCTGTGTCTCTCTCTGTCCCTGAGACCCTAACTTGTGACGTTGTGTTTTCATGTCCACGGGTTAGGCTCTTGGGAGCTGAGAGGGATGCCAGGCCAACACAATGTACAGCACATTCCTGCCTCCAACAACTGCGATCAGGGGTAATGTTGGGATGGGGATGAGGGTGAGAGGGTGGCATGGTACAATGAAGCTCAGGTTCTTTTGTGTGCTCTCCAAGTACACCTTGCTATAATGTCCCACATCAAGTTTTATCTTGAAGCTTTAGCCAAAGAGCTCATTGGTATGCTAGCAAAAGACTACATCAGGCAATTAGCATGTGCTAGTGGAACCTGTCAAATGTGGAAGATGAGAGTGAATTTGTGTGAATTCTGCTTTTAAGTTCATTCAGGCAGGACAGTGTGCAGACTTGACAAAATCTTTCTGGTATTAGCATTGACCCTTGGCATACAACCAAAGAATTAATTGCAGGAAGTAATTATTTGCCTATGTTTGGGTATTTGGAATGAGGGATAGTCTCGAGGTTCCCAGCAATCAAGGTGTTTTAAGGTTTTGAAAATGTTTTGATTTGCAGCTGCTTCATTTTTTTTTCATCATACCCCTTTTGGCAACACCTAAAGTCTCTTTTCGGTGTTGCCAGGCAAAGTGCCAGACTCACCAGAGTTTGAAAGGTGCTGCAAGCTACAGTTTGCTAAATTTAGCGCAAATCTCTTTGACATTTTTTGCTTAATTCTATGTTTCAAAATGAAAATAATAACACAGGAATGGCAACTATAGTCTAACATCATTTCAAACTAAATAATCAGTTAGCGATAGCATTGTTGTCTTTTTACTGATTTTAATTTCTGCATCACCTTTTTACAAGAATTACCCATTCTTACCTAATAACTTATTTTTTTGCTTTCTAATACATTTGAAAGAAAAATAGCATAAATAATAAAAAATATTTTAAGAGTACCAGTACTGACTTAAACAGTTCAAGAACAAGGAAAGAAAATTATTATGCAGAGTAGCTCAGGATGACAGTAGCAGAACAATAACTTAAATAGAAATGCTAAACTTTTACCTGTGCACATCATTTATTCTTCTTCTGTCTGAGTAGCACTAGAAGCTAACAAAGACTAACACTGTGCATGCCTGCTCACAAGTACTTGTGCTTCCTGACTTGAGAGCAGCACAGAGTAATGTTGAGAGCGTGACCATGACTGCTCTGTACATTATGTGCTTGATCTCAGCAAACTCTCTGCGATGTTAAAACTTACTCACTCATGGTAACAAAAGATAAAGGTGACCCTCTCATGGCATAATCACCCTGTTGATTATGTTCTTTTTAATGCCAGTGTTGTCCATGTCTGATGTTCATGTCTTACATAGGGTTGTGACTTTGCTGATGTCAGTTCTATGGTACAATTTTCCCTTGATAGGAAAGGGACTCTGCTTTGATAGCAGCTCACTAAATGGCAAGTTTTTTACTTGGTACCTTTAGTCTCAGTTTGATTTTGGGCCAATTTCTAAACTCCAGTTTTTGTGAAGCTTTTATGGCAGCTTTGAACTATAGCAGATAAAGATATAGAAGTAGCATTAAAAATATCTTATTTGGCCTTCCTGCTTTGAATGGTCATTGTCATTGATTGATAATTATTTATATTGGAAGCAGAGGTAATATCACACTGTGTGTTGGGGACAGGAGTCAGTATCTGGCCTTGCCATTGACCGTGGTGTTACAGTGCAAATTAAAATTACAAGAATAAGCCCTAACTATTTAATTTTTAAAATATGACATTTTCGGTAAACGATTTTTTTTGCGCTAGAAAGGTGGTATTTTGGCTATTTTGAAAAAGATGTATTTATTGCAATGTAAACATTATTTTTCATCACAAAAATTATGTTATCAACAACCAGATGTTACTCCTGCCAAAAGGATGACAAAAAGTAGCAGTGTTTTTTAGGATAATGCACAGCTGGCTCTACCAGAGTTAACGCAGCATTGAACAAGTCATCAAAAGTTGAATCTATAGCTCTTCTAAAAGCGGCGCACCCAAGTGTAACAGACATGTCACTCCACTGTCTCAATAATGGTTGAAGATGAGTGCTAGTGCCATAGCTGAATTATGGATATAGCTCATTTTGAATTACTTTTTGAGCGAAGAAACTTATTCACATATCATTTTCATATTTTTAATGGAAACACTGCTTTCAAAATTGAGTTTTTGTTGTTTGTGTTTTTATATAAGTAGAATATGGACAAAGTTTTACTCATTTGTAATAGAAACAAAGCTACACTGGGTTTTAAAATTTTACAATAAAGACGAAATTGATTTGACATTATAAACTTTAGACTCTTATATTAGCACCATGAGCATTACTAACTTGAAATGGCAGTTACCTTTCTTCACCAAAAGGGTGCTGACAATTTCAAATGCAACATTTTCTATGACAAACATTGAAAGCTAAAGAAAATAAAACCTTTACTTCACTTCATTCAGCCTTTCTGTTGTCACTGATACTAGAATTAGCTAGCATTGAATCTTTTTCACTCACAACCAACATCTACTCCGAATAGTAGATGTTACCAACCTGCTACTTTGATCTGTTTTCTACATAGTAAATGTTTGTGTAACGGGTAATATACAGATGAAATTTTGCTAAAATATGTTTTGTAATTACCATGAGATGAGTGGTTTTTGGCGCCTCCTACTTGGTGCCCATAAATAGGAAGATAAACTGTAAGTTCCACACAGTCTGTTCAGCATTCTACTGTGGTAAGTCACCAAATCCAGTTCTTTTCTGAACAGTCATAGTGGGTGTGATCAAAGACAAATGTGTTCAAACTGCATGGAGTTTTATTACAATAAGCAGAGAACTAGTGGACCAGAAGGGAAAACTCACTGTGCTAATTTGTGTTGACCATTCATTACAGGTAATTATGTTACATTATTTATCAGTAATTTATGTTGTCAGTTATGTTTGTCAGTTTTTCTTCAGTTGAGTTTGTCGGTTTGTCTATTATGTTGTCAGTTTGCTGTATTTGTTAGCCTGTCAGTTTATTTGTTCCCTGTTTCAGTTAGAGGTTACTGTTAAATAGTTTATTAAGTTAAATTTGACTGCTGTCTATGTTTTTTTGATTTTTCTTTATTTATAAGAGAAAGACCACATTGTATCAAATTAATTTTAAAGATGTATTATCAATCAAATATCACTATACGATCACCTGTTAGAAAAATATGTTGTTAAGCCTGATTGTAATAATTATTTGTGAGACACAGTATGTTCAGCGCTCTACTGTGTACGCAGAGAACTAGTGGACCAGTAGGGGAGCTCACTGTGCTGATTTGTGTTAATTACTCATTACAGAAAAGTCAACCAACTGGCCTTCTCTGTGTGCATTTCTTGGGCAAAGGGGAAAGCTGTCACATTTTGATGTTGGATGTCCCAACTACCCAGTTATCTGTCAGGCCTGGCCATTTCTCAATCAGATCCAATACCAATGTATTTTGAACAGCTACACTTTATTTACAGCATGATTCTTAGCTATTACTCACCTCTGATCTATATGGTTACTGATGATAATCTATCTTCACTGATAGTTCTCTTTCTATGAAAGAAGGGTCTTGACATGTGTGTGTTTTTCAGGGTTTTAGCAAATGCACATCCCTTATATTACATATCCCTTATATTATCTTTGCAGCAATGTCTTCCAGCTTTTATTTTACAGATGTCCAGTTGACTGAAGAAATAAAAATTAACTGGCTCCTACATATCTGTGGTGATTAAAGTTAATTTATTTTAAAACCCACTATTTTTTGCTTTTAAATGTTATCTACAGAACCATAGGTTACAGCAACAACAAATGTGTTCAAACTGCAAGCTTTGATCAGGAGAATCTATACTGGTTGTTAGTCAACCAGTATAGATTTTGATTTGAATTCCACCTGCACTGCTAATCCGTCGTTTTAGTACTTCTCTCATTCATGTCTTTTCCTTTCATCTTAAAATCATTTCTTATAGGCACAGCCCAAGCAAACAGTTACCTGCAGTGAGAAAACGTCTATCCGGTGTTCTCCATTGTTCTGCTCCTTCAAATGCTGTTGGTACACTGTGTCCCCATAGCTTAGTCAGACATGAAGGACTGCCACACAGACAGCCAGACTGGCGGGTGGGCATGCACCCACTCCGATAAGCTGCTTGACTACCT